CCCTCATTCTTTTCCTGAACAATATTTTCGCTTACTTCTAGTTTGCCGACGATGTTTTATTTAATAATAATAAGAATGCGAATAAATATTTGATACATGTTTTTTTTTTTTTTTCTGGTGGCATTCTAGGGCCTTTATATCATTATATTATAATAACACAAGATCCAGATCTGTGTAAAAATGTCAGCATGTGTCAAACAGAATTTTGTAAGTCAACCTGACAACAAATGCTTGTGATAGTAAAAATTACTTGAAGGATTAAAACAGAATAAAAAATCGAAAACTGGATGAATTCTCGCTACACATGTATATTATATATATATATATATATATATATATATATATATATATATATATATATATGAAGAAAATATCTGGAAAAACAAAACAAAAATCCTTAAAATGCGATTATGTTGTTTTAATATGAATGAAATGTCGACGTCTGACGTTTCGGTTTAATAACCTTCTTCAGGACAATATTCATTAAAAATACAATTAACATAATCAGTATAACACGACGAAAACGATGGACATAAAAACAAGTCTTATCCAAAACAGATAAAGGAAAATTTTAAATGATCAGCTTTCCGTTTGAGCGTGGTCACGTTGTCGTCAAATGGGCGACGCTTTCCTTTCACAACGTATTCTTAAAATTTTTTATCATACTTATCATACTGTCCACATTACGTCGACATTTCATTCATATTAAAACAACATAAAAATCGAAAAGAATACATAAAAATATATAAAATAAAAATAAATAAGAGAAAATAAGTAAAATAAATTCATCAAAATAAATAATAAACAAACCACTCCCGCCAAATTGACCGTTATAACAGACTACCCACAATGCACTACTGACCCCAATATGTAAATTTTCGAGAAAAAACACATGTGGCCTGATGATTGCGTTTAGCATAAAACAGTCTGTTGCCTCTGAGTGTTGACTTCAATGTTCACGTTTATATTTACATATACACACACACACACACACATATATATATATATATATATATATATATATATATGTGTGTGTGTGTGTGTCTATTCATGTATATATATTTAATAAATCATCAAAAATTATGTTGTTTCAACGCAAAATGTTGGATTCAGTAAGTCAGTCAATCGGTCAGTTAGGTAAGTCAAGGAAACTTTGATTTATTTAATATTATAATCCGAGTTATTTGTTCAAGGGTGAAATCTTGCTGACCTAAAAATACGTCAGATTCTCGTAATTTTCCCTTATGTCTCAGTTGTATTATACAGGGTGTATCAAACATACTTTTATAAAATTTTGCGCGGGTTCCTGACACCAAAACGAGGTCAAAGGTTCATATAAACACATGTCCAAAATTTCATGTAGCCTGTGTTCTTCAGGCGTACGAGCAGATCTTGGTCTTCCTCGATTTGTGGTGCCACGTATCCTGTCTCATCAACGCGACGATAACTCGGCTACGTTCGGTCGGGAAACGCAATCTGATACAGCCCTGCAGCCTCACGTCCATTACCATTCGCGCGGCCGTATGTAAAAATCATATCTGCCTGCCCACGATATGAATATCCTACCATTGTTAAATAGATCACTTCGCAATTAACTCACTATTACGCACGTTAAACTTTGAAGACAGACTAGCCATAAATAATACACGAACGACAAATGTAACCTAAACTTTCTTTAAACTTAATAAATCAGAAACGAAGATGTATGGACATATGTTTATATGAAATTTCGTCCTTGTTTTGGTGTGAGGAACTCACTCCAAAAGTTTGTAAAATAATTTTTGATACTCTCTCTCTCTCTCTCTCCCCCTCCCTCCCTCTCTTTATATATATAAAGAAGTAATAGATTTTTTTATTTGATCAATCCGATATAAATTTATATATATTACTTTGTTTTGTTGTTAAAACAACTTTTCGGCCATTGTATCATCCGACCTTCTTCAGTCTGTAACTATCAATGAATTTCGAAATGAACACTTTATTTAATCAATGGAGGTAGATTCTTCTAGTTTCACTGTACATGCCCAGAGTTCTCTCGTGTTTGTTGTTTCACTTGTACTGCCAATTTATTGCTCGCCATGTTTGCAATGACTATGTCTGTACTACCCGGCCTTGAGATCGAACTCATAATTACAGCGGGATCAGTACAGTCTAATTCCGTAGATTAAATAAAGATATCAATTCTAAATTCCATGGTGTTTACTCGGGTCGACAGGCACTTGAAGAATGTCGGATGGTACAACGGCCGAAACGTTGTGATAATAAAACGAAAATGAGGAAATAAGTTCGAATATAAACAATCTAAAAATGTTGTTCAGTAAAGAAGTTCTAAAAAAATTATATCACCCTATGCAAGGCAGTAAAGCTACTAAGATTCAAGGGGTTACTGAGTGTGAAAGAATTTGAAAAAGTGAGACATTATTAAGGAGCGAAAAGAATAGAAGTGTAATCAAGAAGAGAGTAGATAGCGATGGACATTGCATTGAAAATTTTAAAGATCAAAGTTGGCTGGAGAGTAAGGAGCAGGAAGAAATTTCTACAAGTAAGAAGTGTGAGAAAAGAAAACTTTAGCATAGAACTTACGGTTGCATCTCGCCAATACATTTCCGAATGACGAGGCATTGTCGCCATTGTAGTACTACGATTAAATCCATAAAGTCTATTCACCATAGCGAAGGGCTTATTCGAACAATTGCCATGGATGTATTCATAGAAAAGGCACAGGGAAGCTACTTTACGTCAGTGGGAAATTGTCTGAAGCCGAGCAGCCAGAACAGGACAAGTAATATTGCTGATTCTTCTTTGGATTTTATCAAGAATCTCTAAATATACTGCAGGAACACCAGACCATATGTGGCAGCAATATTCAAGGCATGGATGAATGGTATGTTACAGTTTTTGGGGTATATTATGTATAACTAACTAGTGAGCGAGTCAGAATGACTTATTTCCCTTTATAGTCGACCAATGGAAGGTTGACCAATCAGAAGCCGCCCAACACTGTATTCGTCGTGTATAAAGGCGGCCATCTTGTTTCATCTACCGGAAGGACCAAAGGCGACCAGGAGAAGGATGAACTACACTCTGTTGTGATATCCACTGCGAACCTCCACTACGCTTTCCTACTGTCTCCGAAATATCCACTGCCAACCTCTAGATTCTATACTCGAGGACGACCGTCATGAAAATGTCTAACATGGTAGACTTTTAATGTCGAAAATAAAATATATTTTATTCTTATTTCATGAACTGGAAATTTCTTTCAGGCACAAGGAATAATAAGCAATCCCTTATTCAAGTATCTACCTTGATACATAGTGAGTGCTCCACGGTTGTGGCCCTTTGCACGACGAGAGATAAGTTCCTAAATGTTTGTTACCACTACTTTTACTCATTATTTACTTGCATTGTTTTTTTTTTGTTTTCCAGAAACCGTGTCTTTTTTGGTGAAAAAAAAAAAATTTTTAAGTATGTTTGTCTGATCTTTTTCTTACACCTTTTCTTTTCTCCAACCCTGCACGAATCACCCGTTACGTTTCACGTTTTTCCTAACCTCAACTTGAAATTATTTTATTTATTTATTTTATTTTATTTTATTTTATTTTTTTTCGCAGGTTGGTGTCGTGTGAGAGCTTTTGCATCTTTTGGACTTTTAATCAACGTACGTTTTTACAGTTCCAACGGCTTTACCATTCCATTTGAACAAGTTTTCATTTTATTTTATTTATTTTTATTTCATTTATTTTTATTTTGTTTTATTTATTTTTTTATTTTATTTATTTTTAATTTTATTTATTTTTATTTTATTCGTTTATTTATTTTATGTTATTTATTTATTTTTATTTGTATGTTTGTTGCGTGGTGTAATTTACGTCGGTACGCGTACGTCTCTATGTGTCTTGCGTGTATTTGTCTGTTTGTGCTCGGTGTGTACCTAATGTGAACGTGTGGCGTTTGTGTGTAGTGTATGTGTCGTGTCTGTTGTATATGCGTGCACGTAATGTGTGCAGAGTATACGTGTAAAATGTATGGCGAGTGCGTGTGTGTGTTGCATTGAGTTATCTTGTGCGCGTCATGGGTAGTGTGTGCTTGCGTTTCTGCTCGTGTCGAGTGAGTGCGAAGTGCGTGCATATGCTGACGCGTTACGTTCCTTAGTTCCACCAGTTCTAGCGTTTACGGCTACGACACGTCATGCCATGCGCACTGTAACGAACCACTCTCATTCACCCCGTATTCCATTGGTGAGAAGTAAGTTCCATTCGGTCAGCTTCTTTTCACAAACCGCTGTTTTTGTGGAACTTGACTCCCAAGAGCACGCATCTCCCCGACCATCACAATCTTGATCTAATCAAATCTTAGTGTGACCGTTATGTTTCCCCAAAAATTTCATTCAAGAACTCTCTACCTGCAGAGGCTCTTGGGCTTTGTGTCATGTGAACATTAATAAAATAATATTTAGCGTTAATTTTTGTCTCGTATTTATATCTACTCTTTTTATGTTATATGTATTTGTGCGTCGTGTATTTATATTGTCTAGAGCAGTGGTCCGTAAATGGAGAGGTGGGCCTTGTAGGTGCCGCGGTAGAGGTTAACAGGTGAGGCTGAATGATTGAAAGAAAATCAAAGATTTAGAAAATAAATATGATTTCAAAATTTAAAATCTTATGGATTTATTGTAATTGCAAGCATGAGTCCCAATATAAATAGTTATAAATAATTATTGTCCGATTTTATCTTTGTGGTATTTTTGCTTCATATCACGTATTAATTATATGGTAACCAGGGTCCACAAATTAGAGGAGAGAGTTATCAATGATAATGTTCTGACTTCGAATCCGGGGTTATTTCCCTTTAAGCTTCTTTTTGTTCATTTTGTATTTTTAAATGTACAGAGTGCGATGGATAAATTGTCGTATATATATATATATATATGTGTGTGTGTGTGTGTGTGTGTGTGTGTGTGTGTTGTGATGTGTCTAGTATCGTAGTCTGTAGTTATAATGCTTGTCGCTTCTCGCTTTCAGTTACCGCCCCTGGCTAGTAGAAATGCGAAAAGGGGAGCCGAGTGCGTAAGTCCTCCCCTGCCAGTATATAGCCTCTCCATCAGCAACTTCCATGTAGTGCCTCCTCGTGGCGACACATGGCAACCGAGCACCTTGCAGACTCGGGATACACTGGAGGGGACGGGGGAGGAGTTGGCCCCCTTAACATGCGCCTGCAGGCCCACCGGTGTGTGGACACGCCCTGATGACCATGAACCGAACCCAAGCTATGAGATAAATAGCTCCACTGACTCGTGGAAATCTTCTGGAGAAGGAAAGGCTAAGGAATAAACCCTACACAAATCCTGAGTGGATCCCCTAAGGCGGATGGACGGCACTTTGTGCTACCTTCCAGTAACTCCTGCAGCCGCGCTGGTAACAAACTTTATTGGTTTATCCTCTCCTTTGGACTCAGCTAGCAAAACCGAGAGGGGGAACTAGACGTCCGGGCAGCCCTAGTTCTCCATACATCCTGCCCAGACTCGTAGCTCACTGCGCTACTCCAACATCTCCTAAGACGGATGGATGCCAAGACCAAACCAAACCAAACCATATATATATATATATATATATATATATATATATAAAGAAAGAACAGTAAAGATATATCGCTTGAGGATGAAATGGAACTAATGTCTTTAATTTAATTACAAAATTAAATTCAGGACTTTTAGCTTCCATTTTGAAACATAGTTAGAACTGTGTAGCGAAAAAAAACATATTTTAAATCAATTAATTTATAATATATATATATATATATATATATATATATATATATATATATATATATATAATCTGATTGTGTATGTATTGTCTTTTGCAAGGTTTCATCCTCCATGCCCATGTTTTTGCTTTAGAGGTATATAAATTGTAACGGACGTCAGAGCAGCATTAGATCTTCACGTTTATTCCAACTTAATGTCAATAAAAACAAAATAAATAAATGTATTTTTTCCTCGGTTTCTTCTTTAAATAATTTTATAATTTTAAACTTAATTTAAAATGTAAAATTGGTAATTTTGAATTTTGAATTTTATAGTATAAATGAATACTATTTTAGTCTAACCCTAACATTAAAGCATTAAATAATTATTATAATCTAAGTTCGTTGTCAAGTTTTTTGAATTCTCATATACTTGTATTTTGATTGGTCATTTCTGAATTCTCATATACTTGTATTTTGATTGGTCATTCCAGCTTATGTAACAGCTTTTCCCCTAGCGAGAGGTGTTTGATTGATTTCAACCTTCTAAAACTCTTTATTCTACATTCAACACCATCACTTGATCACTTGATAAGACACCAGAAGTGTTGAAACAAAATGGCCATTTTTGTAGTGATTTTATAACATATTTATATGATAATTTTCGAATAAATAATTATATATATATATATATATAAATTAAAAAGAAGAGGGGTGCCGCAAACGTTTTTGGTTGTAATGTGGATTTATTGAGAAAAAATATTATACTTTGTTTTACATAATTTTACGACACGTGTTTCTGGTCTCGCGACCGTCTTCAGGTAAAAGTGGAGATTTCTACATATTATTAAAAATAATTAATTTTTCTTCATGTTCAATGTGGAATATTCTCGATATGAGACATTCTGTTTGTGTGTTGGCAATCCGAATTTTCTTTCTAGAATTGTCTATATATATATATATATATATATATATATATATATATGCGGAAGACTGTGCATTATATTTTACCAGATTTAAATATATAAAAAATCTTAAAGAAAAGATATGTAAGAAAAATATTGCATTTTTATTAAATAAGTGTTTTGGATTTTAATCATTAAATTGTTTTTTTTTTTAAATAGTGGGAGTATTTTGTATGTTAAATAATAAAATCTTTAATTTTTCCCCCCAAATTAATGAAAATTTGTATACTAAACTACGCATTCTAACTAAAAAAACTGTACCTTGTATCCACTTTCCTGTTTGCACTTCTCCAGCTCGTTTTATGTATTTTTATTTTAGAGCAACGGTCCCCAAACGATGGGGCGCACCTCATAAGTGCAGCGGAAGAGGGTAGCATGTGAGGCGGAATGATTGTAAGACAATCAAAGATTTAGAAACAGTTTTAAAAAAATTTCATATGCCAAAGTAAATATGATTTCAAAATTTAAAATATTATTATCGATTTCATGCATGAGTCCCAGTATAAATACTTATAAATAATTATTGACCAATTTTATCATTGTGATATTTTCGCATTATATCGAATATTATGAATATAGTAACTAAGGTCCGCAAATTGTAGGAGTGAGTTATCAATGATAATGTTCTGACTTCGAATCCGCGGTTATCTCCCTTTAAGCCTCTCTTTGTTCTTTTTTTTATTTTGAAATGTACAGATCGCGTGGGATAAATTGTCGTCTAAATTACGCAAATACGAAAATAACATTTTAACAGTTATATTTACCAATATTACAGAAATTATCTTGAAATACTAAAGAGTCAATTTGTCACTGTGTTATTTTTTCATTATATCAAGTATTAAGAATATAATATCTGTGGTCTGCAAATTGGAGGAGAGAGTTATCAATGATAACCTTCTGACTTTGAATCCGCAGTTATCTCCCTTTAACCCTTTCTCTGTGTTTTTTTTTTGTTTTTACATGTTATTTTTATCATATAAAATCTAGTGAGGTGATATTTAACTACCACCCCCCAACTAGGGTTACATGTAGCACAAGGCCGGGTTTAACGTTGGATCTCCGATCCCGTAGGCTCGGCCAAATATATTCCCTCTTTGAACCCGCATAAACGGGTTCAAGGCCAGTCAACCACCCCGAACGAGACTCTGCCCTTCGGTGGACCCTCGTCCGGGTTCCTCGCCGCCCGAAGGCAGAGAGTTAGACTGTTAGCCAAGTTAGCCAAGTTTAATCAATGTGAGGTGCGAGCAATTCCTTTTAATTCCTAAGATGCGGCCCAGAGGAAAAACCAAAGGTTTGGGAACCACTGGTCTAGAATGTTTCTAGCTACTGTGTGTGTAACCTGCATTATATGTGAGCGTGGGCGAGTGGTTGGAACATTCACTTTCAGGATCCAAGTTCCACTCTCCCCATGGTAGATTGGTCAGTATAGTGACTACTTGATGTTATCGGCCTGTTGAGGTTATCTCTGCGCGTGGAGAGCATGTGGAAGTGCCTGGAAACCATACTAGGGGTTGACCCCGTGTGAGTGAAATTGGGAAGACGAGACTATATGAGAGCTGCCAATGGTTGTGCTAGCACGAAATCACAAGTCATCGTGACCGAGGGTCTCAACGTGCTGGCCTTTTTCAGACTGTTAGTCACACCAGATAATACGCTCCCTCCCAGAAACTGTAACTAAGGTTGCAGTATAAGCCACAGGTGGGCTCTGTGGGTGTAGAATGAACACAGGTGTGTCTGAGCAAGGTGCCTCCAAATGAAATTGGCTAGCCACTCTTTAGAGTGGACAGGGATACCCCGATGCAACAACCTGCTCTTTAGTGTTTAGTGTGTGCACTGTATGTGTATATTATGTAGCATGTGTATGTAACGTATATATATATACGTTATAAAAAATATATATATATATATATATATATATATATATATACATGTGTGTGACGCTACCGTCGACTTCGACGTATGAGGGTCTTATAAAAAGAATATATAAATATATATATATATATATATATATATATATATATATATATATATGCGACGCTACCATCGACTTCGACGTATGAGGGTCAAGCAGATCAGTACCTAGGAACCTGGAACCCCGACACCACCACATGAGATTTGATTATAGTGGTGAAGCCTTTGTGCAGAACCATCCACACTTTTTGAGACTTCGTGCACTACGTGCCACAGGTTCCCCAAACGACACTCCACAGGTTTTGAATTCAGAGTTTTCCTTCTCCTAGAACAGTTGCCATCCAAGGCTATAAAACCCAGTCTGTCCTGCTATTTACCGATAGGTGGAGGGAGAAGAAGAGGATGTACACCTTTCCGAAGGGTATTAGCACGTAAGTGAATGTAATGGATTCGACTGTATTTCGAACTATTTTGGCTATCCATTACTCCAACGTGCCTCCAATATATATATATATATATATATATATATATATATATATATATATATATATATATATTTCTGTCTGTATATATTCTGTATATATTTGTGTGTGTGTAACCTCTGTGTGTTTGCCTGGTGTGCCATATGCGTGTATAACGTTAGAATGTGTCTGTGTCGTGTGTGTGTTTGTTTGACGATTGTACTCTATGTGTGTAACGTATACGTATTAGTTTCTAGTGTGTGTGTGTGTGCGTGTGTGTGTGCGCGTGTCACTTGTGTGTACTTGTTTAGTGTGCATCGTCTGTGTGCAGGTATATATTTATTTTTCGAAGTTGTCTTCCCTTGGCGTTACCTTAGATTGTGTTGTAGGGAGTCTTTATTTCTTTTCTGTTAAGAGGAGAAAGATTCTGGGCGATAACCATTTTTTTTTAACTTAAATTTCACAGCGACTCCGATTTTTTTAATTTTTTTTTTGTAAAAGAAAGACGAAGCTGAAGTAGTAAACAATTCAAAACTGAATAAATAAATAAATATACAACGAAGAAATTCCACAAACGCAAAAAGAATATCAGGTCGAAAATTGAATGCCACAATAAAATCAGGCATAGAAAAATATTTTCATTAAAAAATGGATGCATTGTATGTTTTTTATCAATTCCATTATCTCGTGTAATTTCATTATCTCCCCCTCCAAAATAATTTTGGGGGCCATTTTTTTTTTTTTTTTTTTTTTTTTTTAGAGGAAAAATATTTTATTTTCTTTCCGGCAATCCTTACACTTCCAAAAATCACTTTTTTCTTCTTCCTTCAAATTTGCGTTCTTTTGCGTGTTGGCATTACCTCCTTTTTTATATTATTATTATAGCTTTATCATCATCGTTCATTCTTCGTCGTCTTGTTCTTTGCCTTCTTCATTGTCATCTTCTTCTTTATTGTCATGAGATTCTGCATTGTAATATTCTCTTTCATTTTTCTTTTTCTTTCATTGTCTTCTTTTACTTCTTCATTCTCATAATTGCCTGCATTTTAAAGGATGTCTTCAATATCATATTTTCCACTTCAATATCTTCCACTTCTACTTCTTTAATGCTTTCTTCTTCTTCTTTTTTTCTTCTTCTTCTTTAATGTCTTCTTCTACTTTAATGTCTTCTTCAATATCTTCTTCTTCTTCTTCTTCTTCTTCTTCTTCTTCTTCTTCTTCTTCAATGTTTTCTTCTCCTGCAATGTACTCCTTCGATATATTCCTCCTCTTCTTTATTGTCGTCATCGTCTTCTTCTTCATCAATCTCTTCTTCTTCTTCTTCTTCTTCTTCTTCTTCTTCTTCTTCTATGTCTTCTTTTGCAGTTTCTTCTTCAATATCTTCCTCTACTTCTTCGTCGATTCATTCTTCTTCATGAATGTTTGCTTCTTCTTCTTATTCGTTGTTTTCTTTTTCTTCTTTTTCAAAGCCGTCGTCATCTTCTTCTTCAATGTTTTCTTCGTCTTCGATATTTTCCTCTTCTTCTTCCATGCCCTCCTCATCTTCTTACTCTTCATCAATGTCTTCTTCTTCTTCTTCTTCTTCTTCTTCTTCTTCTTCTTCTTCTATGTTTTACTCTTCTTGTCCTTCAATGACGTCGTCGTCGTCGTCGTCTTCTTCATCAATGTCTTCTTCTCCAAAGTCGTTTTCATTGTAATCCTGACTATCTTTATTGTGATTTTGTTCTTCAGTATAAAAAGAATAAAGACATTTTCTAGTTCTTTTCTTTTGAATTAACCTCAGTTGAAAGTGCAAATTACTCAGAAATCGATGCATCAAGAATATGTTGCGGCAAATTTCCGCGTCACACTTGGCTGTTTGATGGCCGAACTTAGAACTCAACATTCAAAATACTGAAGTTTAATCTGAGGTGAATCACTGATATCTGACAATGGTAGGAATTACATAACCGACTTAGCCACCAGGCAGACGACTTTATTCTTCTTCTCGAAGATCAAGGTTAACCCTTACCATTTTTTGTGTTATTCCTTTTTATTTCTTCATCTTTCCTTCTTTCTTTTCATTGCCTCGTACTTTTCTTTTCTTCAGTTAATACTGTTTTCTTTTTCATTCTCATTTTCTTTCAAATTCTTCTTCTTTCTCTTCTTCTTCTTCCTTTTCTTTTTCTTCATCTCCTTCTCCTTTTGCCTTCACTTCTTCTTACTCCTTTTCTTTTTCTTTATCTTCTTCTATATAACTACTTCTTTGTCTTCTTCATATTACTCTTCTTCTTCTTCTTCTTCCTCTTCTTCTTCTACTTCTTCTTCCGCTTTATCTTCTTGCTCCTCCTTTCTTCTTCTTCTTCTTCTTCTTCTTCTTCTTCTTCTTCTTCTTCTTCTTCTTCTGCTTTATCTTCTTCCCCCTCCTCTTCTTTCTTTTTTCTTCTTATTGTTCTTCTATATTATCAATTCTTCTTCTTCTTCTTCTTTTTCTTCTTCTTCCCGTTTACAGTTGCTTATCTATTGCCTTCATTTTTTTTTTATCTTTCTATCAATACTCTTTTGTCTTCACATTATCTGTTCCCTTCTCAATCTTGAACGGAAAGACATTCTTCTTCTTTTTCTTCTTCTTCTTACTCCTCTTTTTTCTTTTTTCTTCTTATTGTTCTTCTATATTATCAATTCTTCTTCTTCTTCTTCTTCTTCTTCTTCCCGTTTACAGTTGCGTATCTATTGCCTTCATTTTTTTTTATCTTTCTATCAATACTCTTTTGTCTTCACATTATCTGTTCCCTTCTCAATCTTGAACGGAAAGACATTCTTCTTCTTCTTCTTCTATGAGCTTTTTTCCTTCTTTGATGATCATGGCTCTCCATTATTTCCTATTTTAGTAGCTTATAATACAATTTGTCCTTTTCTCATACCTCCTGAATTCGTTCCTTAACTTATTTGATTTTCCCACGTAGTTTCCCTTCATTCCTTCTTTCTTTCTTTCTTTCTTAGTTTTCCTTCGCTCTTTCTTTCAGTTTACTCTTAATTTTCTTCTTTCTTTCAGAGCTCCCTTTTTTACCTCCAATTTTACGTGCATATTTTTCTTTCTTTCCTTCTTGCTTTTCTTTTAGCTTATTAATTCTTTCCTTCTTACTAATTTCTTTTCTTCCTGATTTTACGTTCAGTAATCTTTTTCTTTACTTCGCTGTTTTCATTCAGTTTACTCTTTCTGTCCTTGCTAGTTTTCTTCTTTTCTGTTAGTCTTATTCTCAATCTGTCCTTTGTTTCCTTCTTGCTTTCCTTCCAATCTTTCTATATCGTTTGCTTTACCTTTCTTTCTTTCTTTCTTTCTTTCTTTCTTTCTTTCTTTCTTTCTTCAAAATCCTCTGTCTTTCATTTCATTCACTTGTTCGTGCCAGCTTTCTTCATCTTGATTTCAGGCCCGATCCAACGCTTTGATTCCTGCACGTTATCCCAAGATTTTCTTATTTTTCATTGTCTTCTTTCGCATTCTGACGTGAAATCCACTCGCTGTACTAAACACATCAACGCGAAACAAGCGCCATCTTTTGGCATGTGACATGAGATTTCTTCAGGGGACCCGAAAATCGAAATACAATTTCTTGGAGAATACAATCAACAAATTGACATGCTGGAAGAGAGGAAGGATTACTGAACCTTATGTGTGTACGCTGTAAGATATGTAACCCATTATATATATATATATATATATATATATATATATATATATATATATATGTATGTGTGTGTGTGTGTGTATGTATATGTATATAGGCATATAAGATTTATACATATATTAATATATGAAAATACAAGAGCAACTAATTTATATAAACAATTTCTTACAGAATACAACCAAATATACGAAATATTTCTATATACACATATATTTCTAGTTAATCTAGATATATCACAATTAATAATTCTATCTATCTATCTATCTATCTATCTATCTATCTATCTATCTATCTTCCAGTTTCTTTCTTTATTTCTTCCTTTCTTTCCGCAACAGTTCTTTTATCTATCTATCTATCTATCTATCTATCTATCTATCTATCTATCTATCTATCTATCGATTTGCAACAGTTTCCTCTTTCTTTTCTTTTTCCTTTTTCCTTATTTCCTGCTTTCTTTCTTTCTTACTTTCTTATTTCTTTCTTTCTTTCTGCAATAGTTTCTTTTTATCTGTCTGCAACAGTTTCTATCTATCTATCTATCTATCTATCTATCTATCTATCTATCTATCTATCTATCTATCTGATCCTTTTCATATCTATCTATCTATCTATCTATCTATCTATCTATCTATCTATCTATCTATTTGCAACAATTTCCTCTTTCTTTTCTTTTTTCCTTTTTTCTTCTTTCGTGCTTTCTTTCTTTCTTATTTCTTTCTTTCTGTAACAGTTTCTATCTATCTATCTATGTGATACTTTTCATATCTATCTATCTATCTATCTATCTATCTATCTATCTATCTATCTATCTATCTATCTATCTGAGCATTTTCATATCTCATGATATCTGAGCACTTTCATATCTATCTCTCTATCTATCTGAGTTTTTTCATATCTATCTATCTATCTATCTATCTATCTATCTATCTATCTATCTATCTATCAGTTTCTTTATTTATTTATTATTTCTGCAACATTTTTTTATCTATCTATCTATCTATTTGCAACAGTTTCCTCTTTCTTTTCTTTTTCCTTTTTCCTTATTTCCTGCTTTCTTTCTTTCTTTCTTTCTTTCTTTCTTTCTTTCTTTCTTATTTCTTTCTTTCTTTCTGAAATAGTTTCTTTTTATCTGTCTGCAACAGTTTCTATCTATCTATCTATCTATCTATCTATCTATCTATCTGATACTTTTCCTGTCAATCTATCTATCTATATATCTATCTATCTGAGCATTTTCATATCTCTCATGATATCTGAGCATTTTCAAATCTATCTCTCTATCTATCTGAGCCTTTTCATATCTATCTATCTATCTATCTATCTATCTATCTATCTATCTATCTATCTATCTATCTATCTATCTATCTATCTATCTATCTATCTATCTAATTCTCTTTATATCTGTCTCCGTCAACCTGACCCTCCCCCTCTCTCAATGTATCTGATATGTATATTTGTAATGAAATGTTATCGGCACGATTAAGAAGAGAATTTAAAAAATAACTGAACTTTGATTTTATGTATTAGGTCTTCGAGAAACTTTTTACTACCTAACTCATATATATAAATCATACACACACACTATATATATATATATATATATATATATATATATATATATATATATATATATATATATATATATATATATATATATATATATAAGCGACTGATAAATGTACTCGTGTTAATCTTTTTTTTTTAATTCTATTTAATTTTTCTTGTGCTGACCTGTGTTTGTAGAATAAAACATTCCTATAACTCTAGATACATACGTAAAACTATCCATACATTCAGTTAAAAGAAAAAGAAAATCATCCTTTATAATGACTAAAAGGACATCCGAAAGCGCTCGGGTATACAGAACTTTCAGACAATTTATACATAATTTTTGCCCAGAAAAGAAGTAAATTATAAGAAAATAATAAAATAAAACAATTAAAACTTTAACCTTTAGTACCTTGTCAGTCGTTTTTTTAATGAAACTTGCGTAAAATGGGATTGTTGGTCAAATATACAATTATATATATATATATATATATATATATATATATATATATATATATATATATATATATATATATATGATGATATAAAAGGCTCAAACACTAATATTCCTTGGTTATAATTTATTACATTGTAATCGTAATCACGATCCAAATCATCAGACCTATAAATTCAAATATATATATATATATATATATATATATATATATATATATATATATATATATATATATTTATGACCCACTTATATTATGAATTTCTCTCTCTCTCTGCATATATATATATATATATATATATATACATATAAAAGTTCATGTTCTTTAAAAAATTATAAAATTCATAATATAAGTGGTCAATATATATATATATATATATATTGACCACTTATTTTATGAATTTCTCTCTCTCTCTCTGCATATATATATATATATATATATATATATATATATTGACCACTTATTTTATGATTTCTCTCTCTGCATATATATATATATATATATATATATATATATACATATATATAAAGTTCATGTTCACTTTAAAAATTCATAACTTAATTCATAATATAAGTATCAATATATATATATATATATATATATATATATATTGACCACTTATTTTATGAATTTCTCTCTCTCTCTCTGCATATATATATATATATATATATATATATTGACCACTTATTTTATGAATTTCTCTCTCTGCATATATATATATATATATATATATATATATATATATATATATATATATATATATCATATAATCATGTTCACTTTAAAAATTCATATACTTAATTCATAATATAATGGTCAATATATATATATATATATATTGACCACTTATATTATGAATTTCTCTCTCTTTCTCTCTGCATATATATATATATATATATATATATATATATATATATATATAAATATAAAGTTCATGTTCACTTTAAAAAATTTATAACTTTATTTGTATTTGCGATAGAAATAATTTGTAAAAATGATTAGAAAGAAGTAAGTCTATATTTTTTAAGGTTTTATTGAAATAAAATAAAATAAATAGAAATATCATTAGCAATACAAAGGGTAATATGATTTTGCAGTTCACGGAAAACATTTGTCAACTGTTTTACAGTAATGCCTGAAATCACATTAGTTATTTTAGCTTTCAAATCTTCTAATGAACTAGGTTTGGTTGCATACACAATTGTTTTCACATGTCCCCATAAAAACTCTAATGGAGTCAAATCTGGCGAACGTGGAGGCCAATAAAATGGTCCACCCCTTCCGATCCATCTGTTAGGAAATTCCTGATTTAGAAACTCTCTAACACGCGGAGCAAAGTGACAAGGAGCTCCATCTTGTTGAAACGCTGGATTATCTTTCAAGTTTAATTGTTCAAGTTGCGGAATAAAGTAATTCTGCGGCATATCTAAATATCTGTCACTGTTAATAACACGATATTGAAAAAATATAGCCCTATGATCCGATTTTTTTCCCAAAACACACCACACATTAACTTTAAGAGAGTCCCTTTCATATTCAACAGTTTCATTTGGGTTTTCAGTTCCTCAAATTCGGCAATTAAGCCTGTTGACTTTGCCACTAATGTGAAATGTTGCTTCATCAGAGAACAGTAAACTGCTCACAAATGCATCATCATTACCAAATTTTTTATTGAATTGACGACTGAAAGTTAGCCGTGAATACTAATCCTCTTCTAACAACTGTTGATGTAATTGAATTTTGTAAGCTTTCATGTGAAGTTTTGCCCGCAGAATCGTATGCACACTCGACTTTGGGAGCCTGAACTCTAACGATGCACGTCTTACAGACTTTCTTGGACTTGTTGTAAAGGATTTTTCTATGGATGCAACACTTTCGTCGCTGATCCATGGACATTCCAGACCGTGGCTTATCATGGACAGAGCCTGTCTTATTAAATTTTTTCATCCATTAACAATAGTGTTCCTATGAGGTGGTTCTTTATTGTATTCAATTCTAAACTTTCTTTGTACAGCAATAGTAGATTTCAGTTCAGTCAACCAAAGGACACAATTTACATTTTCGTCAATTGAAGCCATGGATCAAATTGCTTTTGGATAAAAGAAAATATTTTTTACTTATCTAAAAAATGTTGCAAATTTTGTCGTAAAGAATTATTCAATAACTATACTTAAAACTAGGTACATTAAACTTTATAATATTTTTACAGATTATTTCTATCGCAAATATAAAGTTATAAATTTTTTAATGTGCACATGAACTTTATAGACACCTATATATATATATATATATATATATATATATATATATATATATATAATTATTTATTTAAAAATATGATTCCTTCGCTACATCGAGTTCTCATGTTTCAAAACAAGAGCCGAAAACTTCAATATAATTATTTGAATTAAATTGAATTAAATTACCAAGCTCTGTTTCAACTTCAAGCGAAATTTTTGGAATAACTAATTTTTGAAATTACACGTTTTTATAAGCATATTCAGTATTAAAATTAAAATTACTATGGTAACGGCTAGAGCAATTATTTAAATAAGGGACGTAAGGGTTAATAATTTGTATCAATATCTCAGTTACATTCAAAGCGGTCGAGTCAGCGTTGGGTTGGGGCGTCTAAATTTAAAGCAGAAGATGACATCGTCTAGTCTGTTTAACCGTTAAGTGTCTATGGAGATTTATTTATTTTATTTTATTTTCTGAAAAGGTTTTGTGTATATAAAACTATCATAATTAGCTAAAATTTGTTTTTTCTCGACGACATCATAAAGGTTTTTATTTATTTATTATTGTGTAGGGCTTTTAAACTTTTTATTTAGATTATGGAGTTTAAAATTTGTATTTATTATTTAATTGTTTGTTTGTTTTTGTCTCATTCATTTTATTTATAAGCCCTCATTTCTACGTCAGTTTTACTTAGAGCAACGAGAATGGGGAACGAGAAGGGAACACCATCTGCGGATCAGGTCAGAGGGCAATGGAACACAGCTTAGGGTAGGTAGGTAGGTAGGTAGGTAGATAGATAGATAGATAGATAGATAGATAGATAGATAAATAGATAGATATAAAGAAAGAAAGACGCTGTGGTATGTATGTATGTATATATATATATATATATATATATATATATATATATATATATATAGCTGGATAATATATATATATATGTGTGTGAAAAGTGCGTGTATATAAATATAAATAAATATATATATAATTATTTATATATTATATAACATATTTGGATTAATGTCAGTTTGTCTGACGATCGCAAAAGCGTGAAACCCAGGATCAGAAACTCACATCAATCCAACCATAAATATATATATATAATTATCTATTTAAAAAAAAAATTATAACATAAGTATGTTATAAAATCACTACAAAAATAGCCATTTTGTTTCAACACTCTCGGTGTCTTATCAATTGATGATGTTGAATGTAAAAAAAAATATATATTTAGTTGTATTGATGTAAGTTCGTAACCCTATATATATATATATATATATATATATATATATATATATATATATATATATATATATATATATGTGTGTGTGCATATATATATATATATATATATATATATATATATATATATATATATATATATATATATATACATACATATTCATATATATATATATATATATATATATATATATATATATATATATATATAGATAGCTATAGATAGATACATAGATATGCATATATATATATATATATATATATATATATATACATATATATATATATATATATATATATATATATATATATAGATAGATAGATAGATAGATAGATAGATAGATAGATAGATAGATTGAAAGAAGCTGTGGTGTAAACATACACACACACACACGAACACACACATATATATATATATATATATATATGTTGTTCACAACACAAACTCCTTTCACAACGCTTGACTCTACATCTGAATAACTCTAACATTTTAAGCATTTAAAACAACATGCCTGGCCGCGTACACATTTCCGGATTTTCTTTGTAGAAAACACAACTATACTCAAACATGAAAACAATAAACAAGAACTAAAAGTTCTTGAAGCTATAGACATAAAACTGTTGAAACCTAACCTGAAAAAAAACAAAAAAAAAAAACTACGAAATCTCTACAAATATTCTTAAATACCTATAATTAATAACAGAAGCCATTGGTTTATCCAAACGTTTTCACTCTCGCGTTGTCATGTGTGACGTCACGAGCTGCGACGCGATTTTCGCTTCCGCGTCTCGTATACACGAGTTAGTCGTTGCTTTGAAATTTTTCATGCAACAAAAACAGACGATCATTATTGTTTTGCCCGTGTATTGGTTGATATATTGAAAAGTAATTGTCATCTTTGAAAATGGCTTATGTAAGCCGAAAGCTTAGATTGGATTTAAACATTCATTAGTATGGTCATTTCCTTTCGTCTTTCAATGATAATATATTAAGCTTACTTAAAAGAAATAGACAAAACTTGTCTATATTATTTAATGAAAAAATGCATTAATAAAAATATATATATATATATATATATATATATATATATATATATATATATATATATATATATATATATATATATAGATAGACGGATGGAAAAAAAAGTCTGCTGTATACTGAAAGGATCTGATGCTAGACACACTGATGAGCTGTGATAGTCAAACAGTCTCTCTGTGGATGAATATATATATATATATATATATATATATATATATATATATATATATATATATATATATATATATATATATAATGTCATTTGCATACAGTTCTGTTTCGTTGTATCACAGCTCCTCAGTACGACTAGACATCCGAATGCCTCAAGCCAGGATCGAAACCCAACAGATTTGGTTTTCAGTAGAAAGTAGACAGGAAGCTCAAACGTTTTTGGTTATAAAATGGATTTTTAAATATATATCATACTTTAAATTTTTAAAAAAATACATTGTATTTTTTTCCCAAAAATAGGAAAAATGAAGTATAATATATATTAAAAAATAAATCCATATCATAATCAAAAACGTTTGCGGTTTCTTTCTTCTTTTTAAAATTTACACTTTTGGAACAACTATATAATTTTCCTTTTTCTAATATATATATATATATATATATATATATATATATATATATATATATATATATATATATATATCGTTCGTTTTGGGACCTTGTGGCACTTAGTGCACCAGGTCTCTGAATTCATCCCTCAAAAAGTGTGGCTGGTCCTGCACGAAACATCCACCACTATAATCAAATCTCATGTGCCGTTGTCGGACTGTCGGGTTCCTAGGAACTGATCTGCTTGACCCTCATACGTCGAATTCGACGGGAGTGTCGACTATATATATATATACGCACACACACACACACACACATATACACATATCGAGAGAGTGATAGATAGATAGATAGATAGATAGATAGATAGATAGATAGATAGATAGATAGATAGATAGATATGAACGGGTTGAGATAGATAGATATGAACGGGTTGAGATAGAGAGATAGATAGATAGATATGAACGGGTTGAGATAGATAGATAGATAGATAGATAGATAGATATGAACGGGTTGAGATAGATAGATAGATATGAACGGGTTGAGATAGATAGATAGATAGATAGATAGATAGATAGGAATAAATTGAAATTGATATTAATCAAAATACCTAAAGAGCCAGATAGATATATGTAAATAAATAGCAATAATTAATGTACAGATTGAAAGAGCGAGAGAGGGAGAGAGTGTGTAAGAAAGTGAGAGAGAGAGAGAGAGAGAACAAAGAGATGGGGAATAAAAACCATCAATATATCTAACTGGCATAAAATAAGAATAATGGTATTGTCGTAGATCTGGCTGGTCGGCAATCCACCCCAACTCACTGAGCATGAACTGACATTTTTTTTTATTTATCGAAAGACATAGTAACGGATTTTTATTTGATTAACAACAGCCGACGCAAAGGGCAAGCCTCATTTTAAGAATAAAAAGAAGTAAAGAGTTACATCCACGTGCGCTTACCCCCCCTTTCTTTCCGGCTTACGGTCATATGTTGTTGAAATATCGGTTCTCGTATGATCACCGAAGTTAAGCAACGTCGAGCCTGGTTAGTGTCTAGATGAGTAACCAGGTGGTAATGCCATGTACGGTAATCTTAGATGTGAGGGTGCTGTCAGTGATTGAAAGTATTTCTTTGATCTTATTTCTCTTGATTTTACCCCGCGTCATAATAAAATTAACTTGTCTGGACATATTAAATCAAGCATTGTCATTTATTATGCATTTGTACAAGCGTTTTTCTCATCTTATTTCTCTTGCTTTTTCACCCTGGATTAACTGTCTGGATTTCTTAGATCATGGTGTCCTTTACGTTAGGCCAAGTCATGGTGTAACTCTCGTCCAGAACTGGAGGCCTATCTAAAATCTCCTCGTTCCTAGATTTTTAGGTTCAGTTTGGGTTTGTGTTATCTCACTGCACATTCGCTTTCTGATCACGAGAACCGGGTTCGAATATTACCATAGTCGATTTGTCAGGAAGTGATATTTTGATGTTATCGGAGGAGGTGATCCCCTATGGAAAGTGCCTGAAAACCATACCACAGGTTGACCCAAGCCTTGTGAGTGAAATTGGGTAAACGGATGCCTTTGGAAGTTGTCGACGGTTGTGCTAGCACGAAGTGTCAAGTCATCGTGACCGAGGGTGTGAGCGTGCTGGCTTTATTCTGACAGTTGATCACGCTGGATACAGCGCTCTCGCTAAATTGCAAGGTCCCTAACATTGTTGTGGGCTCTGTGGGTGATGAGCAAGCACAAATGTGCCTGAACAGGTGTCTGCAACATGGATTGGCTTGCCACCCTAGCAGACGGGAGTTCTCGGATATAAGTGGCCATCCATTTGTTTTATCTCTCTGTGTAGATGGTTTAAGAATTAGTTTGGCTTTTACATTTGGCTTATTTTTTTCGACAATTTAGTGAAGTATAAGATTTGTATGATTTATTTCCTTCTGTCTTGCTATAATTTTTTCTTTCTTTTTTCTTTCCTTCTTTCTTTCTTTCTTTCTTTCTTTCGTTCTTTCTTTCTTTGTTCTTCTTTCTTTTCGTTTTTTCTTTCTTCCTTTCCTTGTTCTTTTTTCTTTTTGTTTTTTCTTCCTTCTTTTCTTTGTTCTTTCTATCTTTGTTGTTCTTTCCTGTTTTTTCTTTCTTCGTTTCTTTTTCCTTTCTTTCTTTCTTTCTTTCTTTCTTTCTTTCTTTCTTTCTTTCTTTGTCTTTCTTTCTTTCTTCCTTTCTTTGTCTTTCTTTCTTTCTTTGTTCTTTCTTTCTTTTTTTGTTGTTCTTTCTTTTTGTTTTTTCTTTCTTCCTTTCCTTGTTCTTTCTTTCTTTTTGTTTTTTCTTCCTTCCTTCCTTTCTTTGTTCTTTCTATCTTTGTTGTTCTTTCCTGTTCTTTCTTTCTTTCTATCTTTGTTGTTCTTTCCTGTTCTTTCTTTCTTTCTTTCTTTGTTGTTCTTTCCTGTTCTTTCTTTCTTTTTGTTTTTTTCCTTCCTTTCTTTGTTCTTTCTATCTTTTTTCTTTCTTTCTTTGTTGTTCTTTGTTGTTTTTCTTTCTTTGTTCATTCTTTCTTTCTTTCTTTCTTTGATAGATAGATAGATAGAAATAGACGGTGATAGATAGATAGATAGATAGATAGATAGATAGATAGATTCTTTCTTTCTTTTCATTTATCCTGTTTACGCTAGACTTCGTTCTTGCTTTTTTTCTTTCTTTCTTTGATAGATAGAAACAGACGCTGACAGATAGATTCTTTTATTCTTTCACTTATCCTGTTATCGCCAGTCTTCTTTCTTTCTTTGACATAAATAGTTGGTGATAGATTAATAGATAAATAAACAGACAGACAGATAGATAGATAAATAGGCAGATAGATAGAGTCTTTCTTCTTTTCACCTATCCTGTTATCACCAATTTTCTTTCTTTTTCGTTGTAAAGGATGTATTCATTGCTATTTACCTTTATTTCGTATTTTAGGTTAGGATTTCTTTCTTTCTTTTTTTTTTTCCTTTCTTTTTTTCTTTCTTTCTTCATTCCTTCCTTTCTTTCTTTCAGTATAATGTAAATTCGGAAACTTAGTCTTTGGAAGTTAATCTAACATCTTTCTCACGATCACGGGACCCGTACCGATTGTGTTTCCTGTGCAAGATAACCTGATGGAGCATAACTCTCTTCAAGCTGGTTTTGAAATTCAGAGCTTTTCCTTCTCCGAGACCGGACCCATTCTGTTCCGCTATGCCCTTAGCTGAGGGGAGAAGACATAGGTTCATATCTTTCACAAGAGTATGTAGGGATATTATAATAATAATAAATAAATAAAAATAAAATATAAAAAAATAATAATAATGAAAATTATAAATAAAATAAAAGAATAACAATTTACATGAAATAAATTTAAAAAAAATTAAACATAATAAAAAAGAATACTCCCAGCATGTAACAAAGACTGTTCCTGTCGGAAATACAGACATCCCGTCAAAAAGACGTTAAATTCAATCTCTTCACCACGAACTTTGGTACGGGCAGCACGTGTCAAACATCTCTCTGTGATATGGCTTGTAATACTACGGAGTTAATTCTCCCTTTTGTCACATGTACCATACAACAATTTTAACATAAAAATAATTCACACACAATACACACAAAAAATAAAATAAATTTTATGAAATTAACATATGAATTACCATGATTTTCCCATTATTTGTGTACGTTTTATTTCCTGCCGAGTATACTTTTATCTCTTTGAACACAAGACTAATTTCTGCTGCTATGATGTGAGTGAATCCACCACAAGTATTGGCACGTAACCGAATGCAATGAGTTCGGTTTGCCGATTTCTCAATTCGACCCGCGATCAATTACGCCATTATGCCTTCAAACCATTTCCCACTTAAAGTTAATTCAATATTATTGTCTATGAATTTTTTATTTTATGAAAGCGAAGACACTAATGATCACGTTTATGTAGTCTTGTGTAATCTTTATTTTTGTTTCTAACATATGAAAACACAAAGTTGACTTTTTACCATGCTTCTTTTATGGACATCTTCCTTGATTTAATGAAATAATTTATTAATCCGATTTTTTCTAATGTTTCTAATTACAAATGTTCACAAAAACTCTTTCTCCGGAAAGTTAATTTTAATGCTTTGTTTTGCATATTTTTAAACATAACAAAGATTTCCGAAGACTTTTGCAACGATTCTCTTTTTACACTGCGAAATTTATTTAAAAATGTTATTAATTGTGGAATAAAGTTCATTTAATCTTTTTCTCCACGATATTGTTATTCGTAAAAACAAACATATTGATTATAAAATTATGTACACTATTTACATTATTCAGACTATTGTCTTCATCTTTGTCGCCATATTTATCATAGCCGTTCGGCTTTTCAGTATCTGACTATATTTCTGAGATGAGGTATTATGTATACTATTTACATTATTCGGACTATTGTCCTCATCTTTATCGCCATATTTATTACAACGTTTTGGCCTTTCAGTATCTGTCTATATTTCTGAGATGAGATATTATGTACATTATTTACATTATTCGGACGACTATTGTCCTCATCTTTGTCGACATATTTATTGCAACGTTTCGGCCTTTCAGTATCTGTCTATATTTCTGAGATGAGGTATTATGTACATTACTTACACTATTCGGACTATTGTCCTTATATTTGCCGCCATATTTATTACAACGTTTCGGCCTTTCAATATCTGTCTATATTTCTGAGATGAGGTATTATGTACATTATTTACATTATTCGGACTATTGTCCTCATCTTTATCACCATATTTATTACAACGTTTTGGCCTTTCAGTATCTGTCTATATTCATGAGATGAGGTATTATGTACACTATTTACCTTATTCGGCCTATTGTCCTCATCTTTGTCACCATATTTATTACCACATTTCGGCCTTTCAGTATCTGTCTATATTCATGAGATGAGGTATTATGTACACTATTTACATTATTCGGACCATTGCCCTCCTCTTTGTCGCCGTATTTATTACAACGTTTCGGCCGTTGTACGCTCCTGCCTTCTTCACGTGGTTGGAATGTCGAACTGAACCCTTTATTTCGCTCACTGGGGTAGACTGTTCGAGTTCCACGTACCATGTTTAATGTCAGTTATCAGTTATCTCCTTGAGCACACATGGCACAGTGGATAAAGGCTAAAATTTTGTATTAATTGTAATAAGACCTTAGTAAAGAAAACGTATACAACATAAAGAGGATTATCTTTTTAAGCCAAAATAATCCTGCTCTTAATTTCTACTCATTTCATTTAATTTCTTAAGCCAATTATGGCAGTCATGTAACCCCCTCCCACACACACACACACAAAATATCGCTCCTAGTGAAACAACGAGTTTTGAGATAGACCTTCATTTCTGGACGAGAAATGCACCATGTTTCGGCCTTTAGTAAAGAACGCCATGTTTTTCTTAGGTGAAGCCTTGACAATTATTATTAACTTTATAAATTCGGATAAGTACCTATTATCCGAATTTATACCAAACGGATAAAAAAAAACAAGAAAAAAACACTAACAATAACTTTTTAGTTCAAGCTAACATCACAATAATTACATTTATTTTTATTATCATTGCACCGCCATTGGTAATCACTTCTACCACTTTACAATAACTATTAACTACTAATATTATCATTACCACCAACACCCAACACCATTATTACCACATCACATCTACTATTAACATATAAATCCACTATAATTATTAACGTAAATTACTCCCCCCAGCATATTTAATACCAACAAATAAAAACCAATAAGATCAGAGATAATTTCCAAATGTAGGCATGAGAATAAATACCTATTATCAGGGTTTATACCAAAATAAATAAATAGATAAATATATGAAATAAAATAAAATAAAACACCAACAATCACTTTTTAGTTCAGGCTGCCACCACAATAATTGCATTTAGTGTTTTTATCATTCTCCCACCACAATTACTAATCACTTCTACCAAATTACAATAACTATTAGCCATTTATATTATCATTGACACCAATTCCCTTACAACATTACATCTACTATTATCATATAGACCCGCTATAATTATTAACGTAGATTACCCACTCCCCCAGCATATTTAATACCACCATAAAAATAACCAATAAGGATTACAAACTGAAATTTCCACCAGTTACATATACACAGTCATCAAAAACAAGCAAATAACCAGCTTTAAAATAATAACAAATAAACTTTAAAAAATTAAAAATAATACAAATTTTAGGTATCATAATTTTACACAGACCCCACCACACGTATAGACGTGCATGCGAAGAAATATTATTCAGCGAAAAAAATAGAAAAATGCTCTGATTGCTGACATGTATACATTCACGAGGCATTCACGAGAAATTGTCGCTACACTTCCGATCTTTGAATTTCAACATACAAATGCGTATGTATAGAGACAACAGCACACATATACATACATATGTCAAATCCCATACTGTCCACATATGTTTATATCTGTATGAGCCCCGGCGGTCGAGCGAGTATGTATGTGTGACTGCGTACCTCATCGGGTGTACGGACATGCACCTATGTTTGCGTCAGCATGAATGACATCACAACGACGATTCGCCCCGCCACTTGCATAATAACACCAAAACACGCAATCTACATAAACCCAAATTAAAAAAAAATAATAATCAGTTTGTCTGATGATCACAAAAGCGTGAAACACAGGGTCACAAACTCACATCAATCCAACCAAATATATATATATATATATATATATATATATATATATATATATATATACTTTTTATATATTCCGTTTTCTTTTGGGAGATTTCTCATGTTTTTTTTTTCTTTTCTTCTTTTCTTAAAATTTTTCCAGAGAAAATGGCTTGGCTTGTAAAAGTTAAAATGAACTTCATTTCTTTATTGTAAAAAAATATCTTTTGGCGTTACCCCCCCCCGTTTATTTCGACTGAAACATTCAGGTTCATTTCGTTATTTTCAGGAAGGAATTAAAGGTAAAGGAAAACAACAACAAAATTCAGCTTTTAAAAAGCAATCTTCCCTTTCCAGCTGAGGTCAAGTGATATACTATCGTGAGGAGAGACAGCCAAAACGAAATGTACATATAAGAGAGTCACGCAATTCGGAGAAAAGCCTCATTCTAACGATACTGACATTATCTATCTATCTATCTATAGATATGATATATATATATGTATATATATATATATGTGTGTGTATATATGCGCGTGTGTGTATATATATATATATATATATATATATATATATATATATATATATATATATATATATATATATATAAAACACATAATTCAACACTTAGAGGCGACAGTCTGTTTCATGCTAAACGCAATCGTCAGTCCTGACGATTGCGTGTAACATCAAACAGACTAAGTTAGGTAATGGATAGCGGCTTGAATTGAGGAATCGGAGAGCCGAGTTCGAATTCCAGTCTAATCCATTACATTCACTTACGTGCTAATACACTTGGGGAAAGACGTAAATCCTCCATCTATGGGTAAATAGCAGAACAGACATATTTCGACATCATATAT